AAAAAAAAAAAAACACATGATAGTAAAACCAATACCATCTTAGCTTCGCATCGAAGCTAAAATGGAGTAGATAAAGTATAATCAAGTGACCTACTTTTAAAAGTTTGATTTAATCCTATTTTAATACATTTTATATTGCCTACATATTTGTATACTTAAATGATATTAAAGGTTAGAATATAAATTTTTTTTTTTTATAATAAAATGCATCAGTACTACTAAATATTTATTTTTTTTATCGTGCACAGCAATAAGAGGTTACCTCCCTTTTTTAAGAATAATTTTTTATTTATCTAAGGATATAACGTGTATTAACTAACTTGTACACCGTGTCGTTTTGTAGAATACTATATTATTTTCATCGATATACTTCATGAGCAACAGAAACATAAAACAAATTTTATTTCATTAATTAAGTATAAGATATTTAATATTAAACTAATAAAATAAAAATATTATAATTGAGCCATAAATTTATAATTACTTTAAAATTTAATCCTGGTATATCAAAGCAACTATTCTCATATTGACCATTTAACTTTTTTTCTATTGTCTTCCAAAGAGGTATAGCTAAGAGAAAACCAAAATTTGGGTTTTTGGTGATAAAACAACTTTGGATATATACAGGTAAATTCTGTAATTCTTCTATGCAAATCTCTTCAAAAGTTGTAGAGACGTTCCTCATTTTTAATTTTTCTATTTAAAATAAATTAATAGTTTTGTTTACATTTTAAAGATTTTTAAAAACCAAAATTATAAGTATTGTTAACTAGTTCCTATATTAAAATTGTAGTTATAGCATAAAAAGTATAAGTAAAGCGAGTGATTTATTTTCTTGAAACAAAATTATGTTGATTATTTACTTTCGTCTAGACTAGGAATCCAACCAGAATTAATTACAATCCTTCCAAATTTCTTTGACGATTCAAAGTCAATTAAATTAGTCATTGTATTAGACATATCGTATAAATTAGTTGTTAAAGCTTCTTTAATCTAAAACGTAATTGTCATAAATTACAATATTTTATTGGCCCAAAAGTTAACTATCATAAATCCAAGTTCATTAATTAAGAATTTTCATCATATGTCATTATTTTTAAAATGTATTTGTAATAGTTGACTTCTGGATTACAAATTTTAATTCGAAAGTAAAAAAAATATATTCATAACCTTTCTAAACATTTTTGTACTTAATGAGTATTTTCCACATATTTCTCCAATTTTAATAGCGTTCACAACTGTCTAATGATTAAAAATTATATTAGCATAAAATCACATTAATTGGTAAAAACAGGATGATAAACGTTTGTATACAATACCGGATTGAGAAATAAAGACTCATCAATTTTATACGTTAAAAAATAATAAGAATTACGTAAAATAAATCATTTTTCATATTTTAGCTTCGATGCAAAGCTGACAAGGTATTAGTTTTTGTTTTTGTGTCTGTTACCACTTTTCACCGAATCGATTTCTTTAAGCGATACGTCAAAGGACCACAAATCGTATCTAGTCGAAGACATTATCCTCAAAAATTTCCCTCGTTCCCCGTAAGTGGTGGAAATCTCCAAAAGAATTACAAATTTAAAAATCGCAAATTTTCAAAAATTTTTCAATTTTTTTTTTCCTTAAAACTGCCATAACTTTTTTAAAAATAATCAAATCAATATAATTTTTTTTATAGATGCATGATTTTTTACCTATCATTTGGTATATTTTTTTTATAAATTTGACCATTTACCTGCCCATAAGGAGGGATTCAAAATGACAACATTTTTCATAAAAGATTAACTTTTTCCGAACACTTTTGAAAGTGTTCCGGAAACTCTGACACTTATATATATATCTTAAATTAAAGCTAATGTAATATATTTTATTACGGGAAAAAAAATTCGGACTTCATTTTAGTTTCACGATGAAAGTGGAAACTGTATGTTATTTTTGTATTAAAATTCTCTATTTTATTTTATACATTTTTAACTTTATATTTCTATAACTTTTTGAAAAATCTAATGGATCAATGGTTACAAAAATGTAACATCTTAATATGTATTATATTTAAGTTATGAATAATTTAGAAATTATTGAAAAAAGTCAAGATAATGACCACACAATGAGATTAAATATAGCAGAAGATCTGTTCATTGGTATGTCACAAAACTAATTACAATATGGTAATATACATATATTTTCTAGTTACATTAATAATATGTTATTTTCTGTAGTTTTGTTTGAAAGGACATTTGTATAAAATTTTAGACTAACAAAAGATGTTGTTCTAAGTTTAATTAATGAAGGCCCATAAGGGCTAAAAGTATTTTTGCTCCAACTCAGAATATTTTAAAATAACTAAATATATTATTACAAAATTTCCTAAATGTTTAAAGATCTAATTTGTCAACTGAGGAGCTGAAACCTCAGTTCCCTAGTTACACCTATGTCTATTAGACAATTTTATAATATAAAATTACTAATTTATTTTTCATGCAGAATTTTTGTAAACGCTAATATAATTTAAATTAATTATTAATTCATGAAAATTTTCTTGATTAAACTTTAAATATTAATTTCGATGCGAAGCTAAGAAGGTTTGTGATAGTGTGCGTTTGTTTTTTATGACTATCCATAAAAATTCTCAGCTCTCGCTGGATCGATTTTAATAATCAATACGTCAATACAACTGATATATTTCACCTTCCATTGTAAAAAATGACATGAAATATTAAATTAAAAATACTATCGAATAAACCATAACAGATTTTTCATTAGTAAATTTTGTTGTTATCATACATTTTATTAAGTATCAATAATAAAATTAATAAAAAGTATAGTACCACCAATGTAATTTAACACATCACCCTAATAATTATTGGTTTAAAATGACATTAGATTAGATGATATACGGTTAGTGCAAGATATTTAGACTGATAAAAAATAAAATTTAAAAATACGATTTTCTATTAGTCACTAAAATCATAATCTAATGTTTTAGTGTGTTAAAAAATTCGTCAATGATCAGTCCAAGCTCAAAAATAGAACCCCTAACAAAATATTTTGAGGTGGGGAAAAAATAATTTTAGTCTAATAAAAATTATTTGTTGTAACCCTATTCATAAATCCCATAATAAAAAATTTTATGTCTAGTAAAGATGCAATTGTAACATTTCAATTTTTTAGGGTAATAGAAAAAAATGTCATATTATTATTAAAACTTCTCAACTTCACGTTGACTAGGCAACTATAAAGTGAAATAGTATCAGAAAAATTGAAAAACTACTTATGGGTTTGGTTGGGTTACTAATGGGCTTAAAAGGGCTACATACCACACCTCATCATTATTTAATTATTACTATAGAGTATGACTTTAGTAAGTAAAGTACTATTACTTTGGCGAAAGTAATAGTACATTAAAAGAAATTTAAAAAGTCTTTAACTCTCGGCTAACAAAAATCCTATATATATAACTATGATAATCCGTCATTGTTCAATATCGTTTAACAATATTTAATTTTTGGAGACCCCTAGAAATATTAGGAGAACAATTTCTTATTTTGTTACTTTCAAATTACAAATGTGTAATAATACATTTTTTGAGGATTCGTGAAAAAATAATAAAAGTGAACTCGTTTTTTTTTTACAATTGAACTGATTAAGTATGAATAACCTTATAAGAATTAATGAAAAAATAACTTTTTTTACTTGTGATAATTTTTGCCATTCTTTAACGGAATCATTACAACCACTGATTTTTTTTATTATTTTCTAAAATGAAAAATATATGTATGATTAATACACAGATTATTGAGTAAGTAATGAAACAGGTTTCTATTGTTCTTATTGTTTATAACAATTAACCTGTTTCCTTACTTACTGAACATTTATATAGCTTATCATATACAGGGTGTTCAGTAAGTCAGGAAACGGGTTTATATTGTTCCCATTGTTTGTAACAATGAGAACAATAGAAACCCGTTTCCTGACTTACTGAACACCCTGTATAATAATGTATTATTATTATAGTTTTTAAAAGTGTATAGACCATATTTATAATTATTTTTACAAATAAGCTGTATTTAAATTATCTAAATAATATGCTTAAAAATAGCTGAAACAAAATTTATTAAAAGAAACAAATATAAATGTAATTAGTGTAGCTAAAATAATTAAGTTCCCTTTATTGACCAGTATAAAACTACATTTTAAGTTAAAATTTACTTAAAAAAATTCTTATAAGTTTTTTTTTGTATTAGCCTCCATTGAAAATTTTCAGTAGTGAATATGATTCTATACATTTTTTAAATATTAAGTTTTATAAAAATCTTTAATTGAAAGACTTATGTAGAATTAAATAAATTATGTAGTTGGAAGATAATTTCTATTAACAAAATTGTTCACCGCTATGCTATAACAACGTTTTATGCAATTAATTATTGATAAGACAATGGCTTCATTTTGAGGCATTAAAAAAAATGCAATGACTTCATGTCTCTCTATTAACACATCAATACTGTTGGTTGGATGAGCCAATATCATTTTTAAATACTTATAACTTAAGGCTTGATTGCAGCATCTATTGAGAACGCTTAAAACACTGCGTTCTTCTTTTAATGATAAAATCATAGCAGATGTTCCCATGCTTGTTGATGGTTTTTCAGTGGCAGTAAATATTTGCAATGATTCATACGTACCAGCACTTAACCAAACATGACCTTCAAGTTTAAGAGGTTTGAGTGATGATATAACATTATCGATTATTTGCAATTCGACTTTTACATGAGGTATTTCAATGTAATATAATAAAGCACCCAAAGCACTAACAGTTAGTTCATTTGATAAATCTACTATGCTGGAAATATACCGCTTTTTTGATTCTAGAGAAATTGGCATAGATTTCAGTGGCATGTTCATTATAAGTTGTTTACTATAATTGTAACCTAAAATATACAATTACAAAATAAATGATATATTTTCATGTAATTGACATTTTAATTAAATGTTCCATAATTAAACAAGTAGGATAATTAGAAAAAAAACCCAGCACAGGGGTTCGCGGTAAAGTGGTGACGTGGCATTGTTGGATCAAGTATAATGATATCTGACAGTGATTAAAATCACTATAAAAAAAACGTTTCAATGCAAATCTTTAGATAGTGTTTAATTTTAAAAAATTGGTGGATTATTCCAAAAGCTACATGATCTACTAGTTCCTTATTAAAATTCTGATTAAGATAAAGTATGTCGAATGAAAAAGGGATTATTAAAAAATAGTATTTCCCATAAAAAAATTATATTGATCAATACACTTTTCAATAAGTTATAGCATTATAAAGTTTAAAATGTAAAAAATAAAATCGATAATTTTCACACAATAATAGCATTTGGTAGCCATTTTCACCGTGAAGACAAAATAAAGTCCGAAATTTTTTTTTTACATAATAAAGTAGATTACATTAGCTTTAATTTAATATATATATATAAGTGTCAGACTTTCCGGAACACTTTCAAAATTTATGTTGAAAAAGTCAATTTTTTGTGAAAAATTTGTCATTTTGAATCCCCCCCTGTAGTCAGGTAAAAAGTCAGATTTATAAAAAAAATATACAAAATGATAGGTAAAGACATCATGCATTTACATAAAAAAGAATTATATTGATCCATACATTTTTCAAAAAGTTATAGCATTATAAAGTTAAAAATATAAAAAAAACACATCATAGTAAAATGAATACCTTCTCAGCTTCGCATCGAAGCTAAAATTCAAGGCAATCAATTTTTTTTACTTCTGATGATAAATTACTAAACGAAAAATAAAATGAAAAATATGAACTCACTAAAATATTTATTAGGTAAAATATGAACAATATTATTTATTGTAGTATTCTCATTATTATCTATAACTCGTGCATACAGATTAACTTTATCATTATTTGCTAATTGCTTTAACACTTTCAAAAATATTTCATCTTGTAAACAACTTACAATAACACATCTAAAATAATTAATTTCATTAATTATTATTCACATTATTAATGCTATTTCTGATATAGATAAATTTATAAAATTTATCAAAATTATGAGGCTCTAAGTGTCTAAAACATCTCCTATAAGCGCTCATAGGCATGTACATATGACTTTTCCTAACAAAAGTATCTTAATATCCTCCATTAATATAAATGTCTTATTTACTCATACTTGTTCCTTCTATAATATTTAACAATCCAATATAAATTAAAGAAAAGAAAAAATCATAAATTTCAACATGTTTTTTATAAGATAAATTTCATAGAAAATATTAAAACTATTTAAAATCAATTACAAATCATAAAATGTATATTAATTAATTAAATTTTATGATAACAAAAAAAACATCATTATATATGAAATTATTATCAATAACTTATTGAACCATGGCTAGTAAATATATATTAATAATTATTTGGAAACCGATACGTTAATACCTTAATAATACACGCTTTTTAACTAAAATATGATAACTATCATTAATGTAAAACTTATTTGAAATATATAAATTTTTACATATCATTAGAAATTATTATTATTAAAATTATTAATCATAATATTATTAAGTAAATACCGAGGTTTAATTTGAGAAAATAATGACTTTATAACTTTATAATACAAGCTGCTCTCCATGATTTCATGTAAAATTTGTATCTAAAATAAAATTAATTATTTATAGTTTACAAAAAATTAAAGAATTAATTTAATTTAATTAACACATTTTTTTAATGAAAATTGTCAACTAAAAATTTATATGACATTATAATTTTGTGTATTAAAGATGTTTGTTTTATGAAGTCTTAAAAAGATGATATATCTAGCAATTTGCTGTTGAGTTGATATTTTGAGATAGAGCCGCCTTTAAAATTTAACTAGGTACGACACAAATATTTTTTTACGAATTTTGTGGTTCTCTATATCAAACTTTTTTATAACAAATATTGTAAAAAAAAAAAACAGCATAGTGGGATCGTGGAACGTTAAAAGCTTTAATTTAATATAGGTTAGAAATAAAAATCAAATTTCAAATAAGTGAATAAAAAATCAAGTTGAAAAATAATTTTATATTCATATTTTGTATACATAAGCGGTCTTTTTTTTTGGAGTAATTTTATAATAATCTAGGAAAAAATTATTTTTTGGTTGTATCAATGCATAAGGCCTTCTTAGAAAAAATTTCTGAACTCGACACTGATAATGATATAGATAATAAAGTATCTATTGTATACATTAACAATCAACTAAGTTAATGTATAGCATAGACGCTAATAGGAGGGTGTATTGGCTACTTATCACCTTTAAAAATTTTAATAGCACCCCCAAAATTTGTTTACTATTTGAGTATATGATATTAATCCTACAATTCATTATCACTAAAATTTTTTTTAATTACTACATTAAGATGTTAAATAAACATAATTGTAAAATCTTTACATTATTCGCTTCACTTAGAATTAAGATGATAAATTTGTTTATGGCAATGTCATAACTAGGGAAGGGTTTGGCGGTTATATTCGACTTTCGAAATCATAGAAATCCTTGAATTATAGTCGAGGATGATTCATTTTTTGGCTGGTCAAGTTATTAAGTTATATTACGATTTATATCAAATTTTATAATTTTATTGATAATGTATGTTTTCAACATCGGTTTATGATTTTTAGAAAATGAAATACGTAAATAGTTATCAAATTAGTAAATCATATGTCAGTAAACAGTAAATATTGAACTATATATACTAATGACATTAAAATGTTTCGATTCCTCCTTAGTTTTAATCATAATAAAATATTCTTATTGTAATAATAAATTTTTTTATTTAGATACCTCAGATGATTCTATATCGTATGAAGCAGCTCCTAAAACATCATTTTTCCAATAAACTGATAAAATTCTACCCTATAGGAAAAGCAGTATAGTAACAGAATAGCAAATTATTATATGAGGTCCGATTGATCCGGGTGCAATTACAATTCAGCAGCCCAGATCTGGACGAAAAATATTTAAAAAAGACATAAAATATAAAGTATTGGCAAATAATATTTTTAGTTCACGCTTAGAAAAAATAATATTCATACAGGTGAGTAACGGGGACATGACAAATCTAATGAGATTCAATCCATCTATAATTTCGTTGAAGAGATTTTTTAAAATTAATTATTGCTTTTTTAGATTACATTTAAAGATTCAAATGCTTGTAACTCAATAAATCCGTATCTAAAAAATGTTATTAATACTAAAAAGACTAAAAAATGACTATTTTAAAATTTTGAAAAGAATAAAAATAAATATTTTCTTGTTACTAATAAATAATAAAAAATAAGCATTAAAGTAGTCTAAGAAGGCATTAGTTATTAAAAAAAATTCAATGAAATGATAAATAGATTGAAAGTTATTGGATTTGTCATATCTTCATGACTAGCTTTAATATTATTTATATATAAATATAAATATATATATGTTTACATCGGCTGGAACAAATCTACCAAACAACTCCACTAACTTTTAGCTTCGATACGAAGTTAAGAAGGTATTTACTATAACCAAAACCCAACCCAAACCCAAAAATTACAATTATTAAAATCGGAAAATTTTAACATTTTTTTAACTTAAAACTGCCATTTCTTTTTCAAAAATGAAAAAATGAAAATAATTTTTTTTAATATAGAATCCTTAGGTATTTCCCTTTCAATTGATATAATTTTTTTGAAAACCTGACCCTTTTCCTGCTCATAGGGGCGAATTTAATAGAAACTTTTTTACATAAATCAATTTTTTCAACTTAACTTTTGAAAATGTTCCAAAAATACTCGTTCTTTAAATATATGTTAAACTAAAGCTTATGTTACGTACTACACATTAAAAAAAAAAATTGTCCAGACGACTTCTCTTCTACAATATCTACAGATTTGAATTGGAGTGTTTCTTACGACAGTATTTTTAATCACAGTCAGATATCATCTATACTTGTCCCAACTATACCACGCCACACTAATTATAATAAAACCACGACATCACAAACCATTAGTTTTACATATAACTTAAGAAGTACTTGTTCTAAATTTGTATCGACACTTGAACACTCAACATTTCTTTAAAGAAAAATGCTAAAAATATAGCTACTTTTAAATTTTGAATAAAAAAAATTATTTATATTTATTTTATTATTAAAAACATATAATAAAAAATAACCCAGCCAATGAGATCGCGGCATAGTTGAGACAAGTATAAATGATATCTGACAATGATTAAAATCACACTTAAAAAACGCTTCAGCAAATCTGTAAATAGTGTTTAATTTTTTGAATAAATTATTGAACTCCAAAAGCAACATGAACTTTTATTTTCTTATTTATATCCTGGTAACAAGTATATGATTTTTTAGTATAATATATAAATAATTATTGCAGTAATTTTTTCGGAAAAATTATAAACAGTTATAAAGTTGTTATATACATGCTGGCTCTTTTATCTTAAACCATTAGATAAATCTTAAAATAATAATTATATTATGAAAATTATTTTTGGTATTTTTAAATTATTAAATTATAAGTGCTTGTTTTTTAATTCATCCCTTATACCATGTAAGTTTGTACATTATATTTTTTTAATGTCAACAACATACATATTTAACTAGCTAATAAAATAAATCAGTGAGTGATACGTGTACGCGTGGATGAAGTGAAATTTCTTTCAAAGTCATTCAACTGATAGAATATTAAGTTTGTATTGGAATAACACAAAAATAATCACCTAACAATTTTATTTTCAATTGAAATTAATCAAATTTATTATTATTAACTTTCTTATTCTATTGTCGCGAAATATAAAATGGCCTTATGATAACTGAAATCAATAATGTAAGTTTTTTAATATTTTGATATTGAAGATATGGGGTAAAAATACATCAATTTTTTTTTTTTTAATTTTTTAAAAAATTTTATGTACAAATAAAATTATTTAACGTGTTTCAATAACAATATTTTAACTTTCGAAAATACAGTGCTAAATTGTAATATAAAATATACTTTATTATTTACTATTATAATTTATAAATAAAAGTATAGATAGATAATATTTATTTTTTATTTACATAAATTATATTATACAGAATGATTCACTTATGATGAACCACTTAATTAATCTTCTCTTCTTCTTCGGTTTTTCAAAGGCAATTAAGTCCCATTACCGCAACACAAATTAGCTTCAATCCTGTGCTACTGTTTCCATATCTTTTATTACAATTTCTTCAAAAGTCTTTTTTACTTTATCTATTCATCTTTGTTTTGGTCTGCCTAGTGGTCTTTTTCCAAGGAGTTTCTATTTTAATACCGCTTTTATTAGGCTATTTGACCTCCATACGTAACCAGCCAATGCGATTCTTCTTCTATATTGTAATACTGCTACTATGTCCGGTTCTTTATATAGCTGTTGTAATTCTATATTACTTCTACTTTCATATTGTTATGTGATATTATTTCTTTTTGGCCCATATATTTTTCATAATATTCGTCTCTCAAAGATTGCAATTTTGTCTACATTTCCTTTGGCCGTTGGCCATGTTTTACAAGCATATAAAAGAACTGGACTGATAATTATTTTGTATAGTGTAATTTTCGATTTAGTTGATACTTGTTTTGATTTATATATGCTCGTTAACCTATATCATTTATTCGCTACAGTAGTGCTTATATTTTCTTCGTGGTTCGTAATTATATAAAATTATATAATTTCTTCGTGATTATTATTTTTGTTATTTATTGTAACAACCAGATATTTAAATCTTTGTACCCTTTCAAACATAAAATTCTCAACTTCTATATGTTTTCCATGATTTTCTTGTCTTGATATTACCATATACAGTCGACTGTCGTTAATTCGAAACTCGAGGGACTTTTAAAATATTACGAATTATCAAGTATTTGAAATATCAAATGATTCAAAATTTGTGAGAGAAAATAAATAAAACTTCGAATTATTAAGTATTGATCAATTATTATTTATTAACTGCTATTTTATAACAATGTCAAAAGTTCAGAGGTACATTCGTGTATATACATGTATTCATAATGTAAATTAATTAATCTTTCGAAAAAACTCTGTTATACTGGTTTGCTTCAAAGCACATTGCTGCTGCTCAGACTGCTCAATAACTTTTTTTAAGAGAAAAGTATCTGAAATGCTTTTTCATCACTTTCGTTTTGTAGATAGAAGCTTTGTAAGGTATCGAATGAGGATCTTGCTTCCTTAACTGATACCTCTGCCAAAGGTTCTGATGTATCGTCTTCATCTTCATCGTTACTTTTTTCATTCGTATCTGTCGCAAATAAAATTTCGCAATCGGTTAGTGAACCTGAGATATCAACATCTTCATCCACTTGAACAAAGTCAGATAAACTCACACCGCTGATGTCAACTAATGGTTTTATTGGTGGTTCTTCATCATCCATAAGTATTGGAAGATTTTTCTGATCTTCTTTTAAGAAACCGGATTTTTTGAAACAGTTTGGAATCGTTAGAGGTGTAACAGAACAGCTCTAGATACCTTGTCAATCTGTAAAATAGTTGTCAGAACCGTGATATTTGCAATTAGCTGCTTGTCGAGAGATTCTAAAACGAGCTTAACAATTTCTTTGCGATAGAACGTCTTAAAATTATGGATGATCCCTTGGTCCAATGGTTGCAATTTGGAAGTTATATTTGGCGGAAAGAAGTAGAGTTCTACGATGGACAATGAAGGAGGACTGATGTGGACAGTGCAATTATCTAAAAATAGTAAAATTTTCCTCTTTTGTCGTTTCATGTCCCCATTAACTGTTAAAAGCCAATTGTTAAAAATTTCTGTCGTCATCCAAGCTTTTTTGTTAGCACAATAATCAGTAGGAAACGATTTCACTCCTTTGAAACATTGCGGTTTCATTGCTTTTCCTATCATTAAGGGTTTAAGTTTACGGATCCGTCCATATTTACTGCAAGTAAAACTGTCAACCTCTCTTTACTATTTTTATCCCCATAACATTTTTCATCTTTAAAAGTAAGCGTCTTGTCCGGTAAACATTTGAAAAATAGGCCAGTTTCATCAGTATTAAAAATGTCTCGGACATGAGTTTTCAACCAAAATCTTCAATTTACCGTCCTAATCTGCATCATCAATACTTCTACTTTCCCCAAAAACTTTTTTAAACACAACTCCATTTCTCTTTTTGAAATTTGTAAGCCACCCTTCACTTGCCGCAAAGTTTTTGATTCTTAGAATAGACGCGAACTTTTTTGCTTTTTTCTTTCAATAAGTTTCCGCTAATAGACACTTTTTGTCCTCTACACTGTCTTAGCTAAATAACCGGGCTTTTTTCCAGACGAGAAAATTCACCTTTAGTAGTTCTTTTCCGTACTCCAGCAGTTTGAGCAGTATTAATTTTCTCCTTGTGCTTTATTATAGTTGAGAGAGTACTTAGAGGAATCTTAAATCTTTTTGCAACATCTTCTCACCTTCCTCTCCTTTTTCGATTAACTTCTTCTTTTCAGCAATCATCAAAGATTTATACTTTCTAGGGTTCATAACTAACACAAACTTTTAAATGTATTAAATAGTCAAACTAATCATAACAAAAACAAAGACTCGTGTACATTGATACAAATTTGAACATGTCGCAAAATGTACTACATACAACCATTCCACCTCTTTCACTCTACAACTTTGAATTGTCGAGTATTGGACGCCAATGAGTTCGAATTAACGCGTTGTTTTGTTATATAGCAATGATTTTTCCGTTCGAATTACCAAGTGCATAAAAATGTATTGATTTAGTTCGAAATATAAAGAGATTTTATAAGGAACTCGTGATAACTTTGAATTATAGAGAGGTTCGAATTATCGCAGGTTTGAATTAACGAGAGTC